TGACCTCAGTTGTTTCAAATGTTATTTTGTCTTGGAGCACGGATAGGCCTATTGCGCACATTGCCATTGCAACAGGTAACTCCCTGCGTTATTCCCTCGGTTGACTGTATAATGGTATCACCTCTTAGAGTCTTGTTGTTTTCCTATATAATGGTCTGATGGATTCCTATGTGAGTTTTCAACATACTAAGCTTGCACACTTGATCTTGATGTTGTGCAGTGCGGCCTTGCGGTTAAATATGTTGAATGCGTTTGAAGCGTCCACCAGGAGAACGGCCTCACAATCCCGCTGCTCATATATCATTCTTATGGCGTGAATGGCAGCTTCCCCTCCAGCCTGGTGGCCAGCACCAACTTGCAGGTTCCCTGCTTCTGCCCTGACATCATCCTTTACCATCTCCATTATGCATTTTCAGATGATCCGCCTCAGCACTTCCCCCACCCCTATAGGCCTACATCATGGATTCTTACTACTACTTCTTACAAAAAAAAATGGCCTCCATCCTCCCCCAATAGCCACACCTTCGCCGCCATTTTATAACCTTAATGTCAAATATTCTAATACATAAGTAGCTATCCTTGCTGTGTTGAATTAGTTGAGCAGCAGATCTAGGCGGCATTCAGTGACTGTTGCCTCATAGTCAATATCTGCAACTGTTGTCGGCTTTGGGGCCGATGCTCTCGTTCCCCTCAGGCAGAGAAAAGCAGACCTAAGGAGAGAAAAGGACAGTCGACATCTCATCCAGGTTGTAACATAACTTCTGGGCTGCTGCTTCTGTTCGGATAGCACCTCCGCGAGTCTGGCGTAAAAGCATCTTGCACTTGATCCTATCCCACCAGAGGTTGTGAACACCAGAGGAGTGAAGCTGCCTTGATCAACGTTCTGAATTCTCTCCCCATATTCTCTAATCTTGTCGTTCTCGTTTCTCCTATGTACAGCATCGAGAGCTAGGTTGCGGTGACATGTGGCCATGGGATCAATAGTCCTTATATCAAAAAAAGCTCGCTGTCCCCGCGTCCAGAATCCTCGACCACTGACGTCCACACGGGCTTCTTTGGATGTGTTTTTAGTCATGTGACGGAGATTCTCACCGTCCAATGGAAGGAGGGGTGGTTCCACCATTACGTCGTGGCAGATTTCCCTCAGTAGATTTGCTGTTAGATCCCATACCTCGTCATGCCTCATGCATATGAAACCCCCTTCCTTGCACACCATGGCGTGATTGATGTCACAAGATGAGCCGCACACGCATTGGGAGGGCAAACCTTCTACTGCCCTACCGTACCTTAGAGCAATGGCATCTGTGAATTTTTGTTCATGAAGGATGAAGCGTTTTGCCCTCACCGGTAACTTTGTTAACCAATTTGAGGCGCCCACTTCCTGCGCTATAGCTACTTTTCTTTTCACGTTCTTTGGCAATTGTTGCAACAGTTGTTGCAGTTTATCACTTTGGGTGTGCTGCCACTCTGTCTTAATAGACCATCGAATCTTGTTTAGTTCGTTGGTATCCACCTGACTTGCTGCATTCTGATCTATGTGCTCATTGAGAGCTGCCGTCAGCTTGACAGTTCTGATGCTTTGTACGGGCAAGCTCCACTGGATTAGTCAATTCCATTCCTCCTAGTCTCGGTGGGAGTGCAAGGAGTGACCTTTCTGCTATGGGTAAATAAGGGTTTTCACTAATGTTGGGATAAATGCGACATTGATGGCTTCTTCCAGAGGGCGGAGGGGAGGGTCCGACATCAGGGATAGTGCGCATCAGGTAGTTCCAGCGATGCTTGACTCCATGGGTGAATGCCGCAAAAGCCGCATGTGACTCTGTTTTAGCAATATCAGACAGAGCTTGGCTTTCCCTAACTCACTCATTCACCTTTCCCGTTACGAACTCGGATCTTGAAGTCCATCGTGCCGATTATTGCTCCTAGGTATCTTTGGCCATCCTTTGTTATTTTGCCCTAATTTCCACAGAGCACCTCCACTGCCCGGTCATCGTGTTCTGGCTTCATAATGAGGAAGGACTTGCTGGTATTTGGGTGGTACCCTATTTATGGACCACGTGATGACATCACTTTTCTTGCACCTGTAAGGGCGTCATCGTAAGCCACAAAAAACTTGCAAGTTCCCTTCAGCTGCCTTGACATCAATCTTTACCACCTCCATTATGCATTTTCCAATGAGCCGCCTCAGCACTTATCCCACTCCTATAGGCCTACATCCTGGATTTTTATCCAGGGGAATGAGGCGGCAGACCGTCAGAGCATGAAGGTGATGGCCGCACGAGGTTGTTAGCTTTCTTACAAGGGCGGCGACGGCATTGCAGAGATCACTTGCTATGGCGCCAAACTTGTTAGTGCTTCTGAGTGATTATCTCCTAATTACCACTAGGACTCTAGTAATAGCACCAATAGTACACCTCCAATAGCACCGGAACTAATAGCATCCTTGCACTACTTGGTTCCAGTCGCCAGTAAATAAAGTTGCGACCCTCAATCAGCACATGTGATCAGCTCAGGACACATATACAACTGAGTAGGTTACAGTTACAGGAATCCTTACCATTGCTGACCACACCTCACAAAATACAATGGATTTAGCAAACGCTGCAGCTGTTGAAAATGGAGTGGGACCTGAGTTACTACCAAGATCAGAGACATTACCGAAAACAAATTCCGGCTTGAAAATCACGTACTGTACACTAATATTGACAGGTTCCTTGATAAGAAAGCGGAGTTTGAAACACTACTGATGGTACATCAACCCGATAGAGTAGGTGTTGTAAAGCTGTTGTACAAGAACAGAAGAACAGGAAAATCGACCTGGAGGAACGTGAGTTCAGTATTACTGGATATGCCTCATTTACGAACCTTTCTCAAGAAACTTACAAGAGAGGTTTGGTTATTTATGCTACGCAAGACCTGAGAGCCAGCCAAGTGAGGGTACAGGAAGAGGATCTTTTTGAAGAATCCAAGTGGTGTAAAATTAAAATAAAGGTGAGAGAATAACTTATTGTCGGGTGCATCTACAGATCCCCAAACTGTAGCATAATAATTCAGAGGAACTTAAGAGCCTGAATTGACAACGTAACGGCGCTCAACACCTAGTCACCTCCTTGTCATGGTGGACTTTAACTATGGCGATATCGACTAGAGAAATGAAACCACGCCAACGTAACATTGTCTTTCAGATTTAACTGTTATTTGGTTAAGTGACAAAACCAGGCCAAGGTGTAAATATTACAAGGGAATTTACGGCGAGATGAGGGAGGAGATGAGGGGTATCCACTGGCCTGACTCACTAAGGTATAAGAACGCAGACACTACACTGAATATTATAGCCAGTAAAGAGAACCATTTGGTCGAGAAATATATACCCAAGGCCAAATCCAGTGCCTCCGGGAACACAAGGACACCGCTGCATGTGAACCATGCAGCGGTCGACAAAGTTAAGAAGAAAACTCAGAAATTCGAGATGTGGGTTCGGTTAAATGACGAACAAGACAGGAGGAAGTATGTCAGATCCAAGAACCAGGCCACGACAAGGCGGAGGCGTTGAACAAATTATTTTCCTCGTTGTTCACAAGAGAGGATGCGAACAATCTCCCTGCGTTTGAGGACAGACGGTTTGACACAGCACTGACCCACATTGTGTAATAAATTGTTAACGCTAAAGGTTCATAAGAGTCCCGGCATACCTGAGTGTTAAGAGAGTTGTGCAACGAGCTTTCTGAGCCCCTGAAGATCCTGTTCTGCAAATGCCTGGATGAGCAAAATGTCCCCAGTGATTGGAAAATGGGTTATGTGAGTCCTATCTTCAAGAAGGGCGATCGTCACTCCACGAATAATTATAGACCAGTGATCCTGACCAGCATAATATGTACAGTACTTGAGAGCATCATAAGAGATGCCATGATGGAACATCTAGTACAAAACAACCTTGTAAAAGCCTGCCAACACGGTTTTATGCCGGGACGCTCCCGCTTAACACAATTACTCAAGGTACTGGATGTTTAGACCCAAATCCTGGAACAGGGTGGCAATATCGACAATATATACCAACATTACGCCAAGGCTTTCGACAGCGTACCCCATGAAAGGCTGGAGCCAGTTGCTGCATAATGGGAAATCAACCTAGCTATCATTTTTCTGTGCACACTTCACGGTTGCCGAGACGATCATTTGGAGAGCCATGATGGCACCTCCGATTTCCTTGCCTACTTCAGTCCTGCTTGTGTTTTCCATATGAATTGTTACTGGAGACAAAACTCTGCGGCTACACTTATCTACCACGTCAGTTGCAAATAACTCGGTTCCACATACAGGTAGAATTACATACACCAACTTCCTCATGCATAAATCAAGAAAGGTAAAGGAGGTTTTGTAAGGATATTCACTGCATAAGGATAGAGATTTTAGATATTAAACCACCAAACTGTGGCGGGGAATTCCAACATATTCTCAAATTATTTCAGTTAGTCTTCTATAAAACAGTTTCATTCAATCATTTCCTATTTATCTATAAATCAAATATTACAGAGAAATCGGCCGTTAATTTTTAAAGAGAAGGCTATATACATCACACAATATTATAAGAGAATACCTTATATAATAGACTTTTGTGTGATGAAGGATAGTAGTGGCATACTGTAGGGAGGGGGATATATATTTTTATCACTCTTTTCTTTCTAAGTGTTTTTTTTTTATTAAATTCCTCCAAGTAATTATTTCTTTCAGTTTCTAAGTGTCGCCTACTTTAGTTATCTGTTAAGTTTCTCTTACTAATCTCTTTATCCTTCCTATATTTTACTTTCCCTTCTTCCTCCTCGTCTACTTCCTTTTCTTCTTGTTCCTCTCCCTACTCCTCCTGTACGTCCCTTCATTTTTTCTCTTCCTTCTTCTCCTCCTACTACCAGTACTGCTACTATAACTAAATACTTCTAGAGGTATAAATGAATACTAAATTACTACCACTTATTATGCTACTAATATTTTTTTTCTTTAAGGATGGTCCGTGAAGTACAGGAACTGAGCGAGAGTGTAGAGTCACTGCGCCACAAGCTGTCAGAGGCAGAAAACTCGTTACATCGCCTGGCGCAAATCCGTGCCCGGCTTGACCATGACCTGGGCGTTAAGACCAATTCCATTTACATTGACCGTGATAAATGTCTGGCGATCAGAAAGAGCTTCCCACTCTCCCAGCCTCACATGGTGGACTTTACTCTCTACTAATACTGAACAGTTGATGACCTCTTGAAGCTATGTTCTGAGAAAAACTTGGTTCCTAACACAACAAACTGTCTACTAACACACCTAACTGTCTACTAACACAACAAACTGTCTACTAAACACAACAAACTGCCTACTAACAACAACAAATTGTCTACTAACACAACAAACTGTCTACTAACAACAAACTGACTACTAGCACAACAAACTGTCTACTAACACAACAAACTGTTTACTAACACAACAAACTGTCTACTAACACAACAAACTGACTACTAGCACAACAAACTGTCTACTAACACAACAAACTGTCTACTAACACAACAAACTGACTACTAGCACAACAAACTGTCTACTAACACAACAAACTGACTACTAGCACAACAAACTGTCTACTAAACATAACAAACTGTCTACTAACACAACAAACTGACTACTAGCACAACAAACTGTCTACTAACACAACAAACTGACTACTAGCACAACAAACTGTCTACTAACACAACAAACTGTCTACTAACACAACAAACTGACTACTAGCACAACAAACTGTCTACTAACACAACAAACTGACTACTAGCACAACAAACTGTCTACTAACACAACAAACTGTCTACTAACACAACAAACTGTCTATTAACACAACAAACTGTCTACTAACACAACAAACTGACTACTAGCACAACAAACTGTCTACTAACACAATAAACTGTCTACTACACAACAAACTGTCTACTAACACAACAAACTGTCTACTAACACAACAAACTGACTACTAGCACAACAAACTGTCTACTAACACAACAAACTGACTACTAGCACAACAAACTGTCTACTAACACAACAAACTGTCTACTAACACAACAAACTGACTACAACAAACTGTCTACTAACACAACAAACTGTCTACTAACACAACAAACTGACTACTAGCACAACAAACTGTCTACTAACACAACAAACTGACTACTAGCACAACAAACTGTCTACTAACATAACAAACTGTCTACTGACACAACAAACTGTCTATTAACACAACAAACTGTCTACTAACACAACAAACTGACTACTAGCACAACAAACTGTCTACTAACACAATAAACTGTCTACTACACAACAAACTGTTTACTAACACAACAAACTATCTACTAACACAACAAACTGTCTACTAACACATCTAACAGTCTACTAACAAAACTAACTGTCTACTAGCACATCTAACTATCTACTAACACAACAAACTGTTTACTAACACAACAAACTGTCTGCTATCACAAATAACTGTCTAATAACACATCAAACTGTCTACTAACACAACAAACTGCCTAGTAACATAACAAACTGTCTACTAACACAAAAAACTGTCTACTAACACATCTGACTACTAACACAACAAACTGTCAACTAACACAACTAACTGTCTAATAATACAACAAACTGACTACTAACACATCTAACTGTCTATTAACACAACAAACTGACTACTAACACATCTAACTGTCTACTAACATAATAAACTGTATACTAACATAACTAACTGTCTACTAACAGAACTAGCTGTCTAATAACACATCTAACTGTCTACTAACACAACAAACTGTCTACTAACACAACTGTCTACTAGCACAACAACCTGACTACTAACACAACAAACTGTCTACTAACACAACTAACTGTCTACTAACACAACAAACTGCCTACTACACAACAAACTGTCTACTAAAACAACAGACTGTTTACTTATCTCACAAAGTTTACTAACTAACGGTGAATTACCTAATATAACAGTTAACTGGGATTACGGCTCTTTAGTAACTGAGGATATCGTAGAGTATTTACTTAACTCTTGGTAATACAAGAGTGAAGCGTAGCCGAGACTATAATAATCGACTGCTCTTACTTCCCTAATTCATAAAGTTACGTTAGGTTGTGTGACCATTAACAGCAGAGTGAATGGGAAGAGAGTGTTGTGGGATCAAAACAGCGACCTATAAGGCAAAAGGCGAGTGCTGTATCCGCTCCGCCACTGAAAAAAATAATAAAGAAACTTTGGAAAGTGAAATGCATTAAAGTGTACAGTAGTGCTGTCCTCTCTGTTCTGTGTACTCATTCCTTCTCCCAGTCTGTCCCCCTAACACTCATTTGGCCAACATTCTGTCCCCCTGACAGTCATTTGGCCAACACTCTATCTATCTATCTATTTGTAAAGTTCTGATACGGTCAGTGTGTTGTATACAAAGATGGAGGCGACACCTGAGGCGAAAGGGCTAGCAAAACTAAGAGATACATTTGAGGAGCTTTTGCCGTAACTTATATTTAAATTATTTGTATAAAGAGCCTAGGTGACTTTATTATCGAAGACAGTTTCAATAGAGCGCCGTAAAGAGTAAAGGCAATAAAAGGTGCTGGTGAGGGTGGGGCTTAACCTAATAGTGTGTGTGTGTGTGACACCCATAAACTAGTTAGTGTGTGACACCTACACACTGGTTAGTGTGTGACACCCACACGCTGGTTAGTGTGTGACACCGACACACTAGATAGTGTGTGATACCCACACAATGGATAGTGTGTGACAGCTACAAAATGGTTAGTGTGACACACACATACACTGGATAGTGTGTGACGCCCACACACTGGTTAGTGTGTGACGCCCACACACTGATTAGTGTGTGACGCCCACACACTGGTTAGTGTGTGATCCCCACACACTAGATAGTATGACAACCACACACTGGTTAGTGTGTGACACCTACAAAATGATTAGTGTGTGACACCCACACACTGGTTAGTGTGTGACACCCACACACTGGATAGTGTGTGACACCCACACACTGGTTAGTGTGTGACACCCACACACTGGTTAGTGTGTGACACCCACACACTGGTTAGTGTGTGACACCCACACACTGGTTAGTGTGTGACGCCCCCACACTGGTTAGTGTGTGACACCCACACACTGGTTAGTGTGTGACACCCACACACTGGTTAGTGTGTGACGCCCCCACACTGGTTAGTGTGTGACACCCACACACTAGTCAGTGTGTGACACCTACAAAATGATAAGAGTATGACACCCACACACTGGTTAGTGTGTGACACGCACACACTGGTTAGTGTGTGACACCCACACACTGGTTAGTGTGTGACGCCCCCACACTGGTTAGTGTGTGACACCCACACACTGGTTAGCGTGTGACACCCACACACTGGTTAGTGTGTGACACCCACACACTGGTTAGTGTGTGACACCCACACACTGGTTAGTGTGTGACACCCACACACTAGATAGTGTGTGACACCCACACACTGGTTAGTGTGTGACACCCACACACTGGTTAGTGTGTGACACCCACACACTGGTTAGTGTGTGACGCCCCCACACTGGTTAGTGTGTGACACCCACACACTAGTTAGTGTGTGATACCTACAAAATGATAAGAGTATGACACCCACACACTGGATAGTGTGTGACACCTACACACTAGTTAGGGTGTGATACCAACACACTGGCTATTCTGTGACACCTACACATTGGCTAGTGTGTGACACCTACACACTGGTTAGTGTGTGACGCCCACACACTGGTTAATGTATGACACTCACACTGGATAGTGTGTGACGCTCCCACACTGGTTAGTGTGTGACGCCCACACACTAGTTAGTGTGTGACGTCCACACATTGGCTAGTGTGTGACACCTACACACTGGTTAGTGTGTGACACCTACACACTGGTTAGTTTGTGATACCTACACACTAATTAATGTGTGACTTCCATATACTGGTTAGTGTCTAAGTAACACCTGCACACTTGTTAGTATGTGACACGCACACACTGATTCGTGTGTGACACCTACACAATGGTTATTGTGATACCCATAGACTGGTTAGTATGTGACACTACACACTGGTTAGCGCAGTACAGTAGAACATTCCAACAGGACAAGTTTGGTTAGGCCTAGTATGGGATTAATTTTTAGTTTAAAACACAAAGCTCTCCTGAACCTTGTTTAATTGATGCTGAATCACCTTGGACAGATTTAACTTAATCTATTTCGCTTAATGAAAATATATCCATTATCTTAAGATTGAAAACAGGGCTGAAAATTGGCACATTCATGAGCGAGTGTGGTCAAGCTATTTCTGTATTGTTCTACACGTGTCAACTGGCAGCGAAAAATAAATTGTGGCATCAGATCCGTTCACTGATAATTACGACACAGGCTAAGAAGTTAGGACTTCCTGTGACACCACTCATTAGATGTTATATATATATATATATATATATATATATATATATATATATATACAGTATATTATAAAATCACACGGGGAGGCAACTGAAGTTGCCTCTGAAGATGTCTTGAATAAAGACGAAAGCTAAGGTGCTCCATCGTTTCCTGTTTCCCTGGGTGATTTTATCAAGATTTATCTAATCCACGTTTTCATTGTGGATCTACATGATATATATATATATATATATATATATATATATATATATATATATATATATATATATATATATATATATATATATATATATATATATATATATATATATTGAGAAGACAATAGCCTCTTCATCTCTTTCTTATATGGAAGACTCGTAGATGGCTGCTACTAAAACTAGAGGAACTGTCCAACCATTGATATCATTAAGTAGATCTTTAAACTTTTGGAGATGTCACTTGTTAACGTGTTACGATCAGTATAGAGTATATTATTATTTGTGGTAGTACTATTATTAGTAGTATTAATATTATCATTATTATCATTAATTTTATTATTACTACTATTATTTTTATTTTTATATAGTTATATAGACGTTGACCACACTTATGAACTTGTTAACATCAGTATATAGTATATTAAATACAATTTATATGTTGGCTATAATATTAAATAGTTGGGTGTAATAAAGTTTACAACATATGACCTCTTCTTTTGGCCTAATGTTTAAGTGTTATTACACCTGGTGCCCCAACAACCCCACCTTGTACTCCAACAACCCCACCTGGTGCCCCAACAACTCCACCTTGTACCCCAACGACCCCACCTGGTGACCCAACAACCACACTTTGTGCTCCAACAACCCCACCTGGTGCTCTAACAACCCCACCTGGTGCTCCAACAACCCCACCTGGTGCTCCAACAACCCCACCTTGTACTCCAACAACCCCACCTGGTGCCCCAACAACTCCACCTTGTACCCCAACGACCCCACCTGGTGACCCAACAACCACACTTTGTGCTCCAACAACCCCACCTGGTGCTCTAACAACCCCACCTGGTGCTCCAACAACCCCACCTGGTGCTCCAACAACCCCACCTGGTGTTCCAACAACCCCACCTGGTGCTCCAGCAACCCCACCTGGTGCTCCAACATCCCCACCTGGTGCTCCAACAACCCCACCTGGCTCACTTAAACACCCCACCTAGCTCTCATATACACCCACCTGGCCCTCTTATACTCCCACCTGGCCCTCTTTTACACCCACCTGGCCCTCTCAAACACCCACTTGCCACTCTAATACCCCACCTGGCTCTCATATACACTCAGAATTTCGAGACATGGGTTAGGTCAAATAATAAGCAGGACAGGAGGATGTATGCTAGACCTAGGAACCAAGCAAAGTCAGAGTTCCAGAGACAGATTGCAAGCTAGCTAAAGTCAAATCCTAAGGCTTTTTACCACGATGCAAAGTCGAAAATAAAAACGCAAGTAGGCGTATCGGACCTGAGGTGTGAAGATTGTAGTTACGCAACTTATGACCAGGACAAAGAGGAAGCGTTGAACAGATTATCTTCCTCGGTGTTCACAAGAAAGGATGCAAACAATCTTCTTGCGTTTGAGGAAAGACGGTTTGACACAGTGCTGACCCACATTGTGTTCTCAGAAGAGGGCATAAGAAATAAATTGTCGAAGCTAAAGGTTCATAAGAATCTCGGCCCAGATATGGTGCAGCCCAGAGTAATAAGAGAGTTGTGCACTGTTGGCAAGTACTGGGCATGAACTGACTCCTGAATGTATTTGAACCTGCTCCAGTTTTGGTCAAGTCTGGCCTTGAAAGAGCTCACATTCTGTGCTGTAGGTAGTAGGTAGTAGGCAGCTATCAAACAGGGAGGTACTACCGCTTGGGAAGATATTGGAAGCATAATGTGTTGTCTAATGATAGACCCTGCTGCCATATGGCATCACGAAAATTGTGACCAAGTCTCAGGTTGCTGATCTGACTTTCTGCTTCATTTACACAAGATTGCAGGGTTTCAATTGTTTCTCTTACTTTGGCAATACAACATACATAATGTTTATCATTTCTCATTCTTGATTTATTTTTTTCGATTTTGTATTTATTTATGATTATGTTTAATATTTTTTTTTTTTTAGTATTTTGTTATTAATATTTATTAATTATTATTATAATAATAATAATAGTTATTATTATTATTATTATTATTATTATTATTATTATTATTATTATTATTATTATTATTATTATTATTATTATTATTATTATTATTATTATTATTATTATTATATTATTATATTTTCGCCCCCAGGCCCTGATGTGGGTCAGTAACCTGTGCCCGGGTGGGCTAATCCCGAAAAAAAAAAACTCTCTGGCAGATTGTTCCAAGAGTTCACAATTTGCACTCCGAAAAAGTTTGCCTTCACTGTTTTCTGAACTTGTGGCTTCGTCAACTTTGCGCTGTGACTCCATGTGGGGCGGGCATCCGCCAGCTCCAGGTAGTTGAGGTGCCAGAGTGCAGGTACCAGTGGCACCCCTATCGACATTTTCAATTAATCGAAAGTCTCTAGTATATCTCAGGGACCAAACGGGGTGACAGTACTCCAGACGGGAAGCACCTCGCTTTTAAAGATCGTGACGAGCGACGGACCAATTCAGATGTCTAAGCGACCCTCTTACAAGACCTAGTTTCGTTGCTTGATTCACCCTTTTCTCACAGTGGCCCGAGAACTTAAGTTCTTTGTCGACATACGCATCCAGGTCCTGTTGGGACATGTGATACGCCTCCTTACTGTTGGTACACCCCAGGTGCATCCTCTTGCTCTTCGTGACATTGAATCTTAGCAGCCATTTCTTCGACCATTCATGAATCTCATAGAGATCTTTCGCAGTTCTTCTTCACAGTCTGTTTGGTTCTTAATTTCCAAGTTTAACTTGGCATCGTCACCAAACATTTGTATAGAGGAGTCATTTACGAAGGACCCTGCTTGTCATTGGTACACATGGCGATTTCGTGCCATTAATCACCACACACACTGCTTGCAGTCATGGATAAAGTCTCCGATCGACGCTAGGACATTTCTCTGAATCCCGTACCCTTACAGTTTAATTCTTAGCCATTCATGGAGTACAATGTCGAAAGCCTTGGCAAAATCTAGGTATATATTGTCGATTTTTCCGCCATGTTCTAGAATTTGAGTCCAAACATCCAGGACCCTGAGTAATTGTGCTAAGCTAGAGCGTCCCGGCTGAAACCGTGTTGGCAGTCCTTTACAAGGTTGTTTCGTAGTAGATGTTCCATCATGGCATCTCTTATGATACTCTCAAGTACTTTACACACTATGCTGGTAAGGCTCACTGGTCTATAATCATTCGTGGAGTGAAGATCGCCGTTCTTGAATATATGACTCACATAAGCCATTTTCCATCATCCAGGCATTTACAGAACAGGACCTTCAGGGGCTCCACGTGCTTGTTACACAGTTCTCTTATCACTCTGGGGTGCACCATATCATGGCCGGGACTTGTAAATCTTTAGCTTTGACAATTCATTTCTTATAACCTTATGCGAGAACCTAATGTGGGGCTGCACTGTGTCAAACCGTTTTTCCTCAAACGCAGGAATATTGTTCGCATCCTCTCTTGTGAACACCAAGGAAAATAATTTGCTCAACGCCTCTTCCTTGGCATGGTCAGACTCTGCATAAGTACCATCTTCAAGCGTCAGGTCTGATAAGCCTAATTTAGGTGTATGTGTGCATGTGTGCATTTGTGAGTGTATGTATGTGTGCATGTTAGTGTGGGTGTATGTGTGTATGTATGCGTTTGTGTGTTAGTGTGCGTGTATGAGGGTATGTATGCATTTGTGAATGTGTTGGTGTATGTGTGTATGTATGCGTTTGTGTGTAAGTGTGCGTGTATGAGTGCATGTATGCGTTTGTGAGTGTGTTAGTGTGAGTGTATGTGAGTATGTATGCGTTTGTGAGTGTGTTAGGGAATCATAGGAGGAAATGGACTAGGCAAGTGTAATCTCAACAGCCCATTCCTCCTCACCAAGTGTGCTGAACACAACCTTACTATCACCAATACCTTGCTTAGGCAGGCCGACAAGTTCAAGGGTTCGTGGCAACACCTATGATCTAAACACTGGTAGCTCATTGACTACATCATTGTCAGAGAAAGAGATCGCCGATGTGTCCTCATCACCCGAGCCAAGCGTCGCTCGGACCACTGCGACACTGATCATCAGCTCGCCAGAGCCAAGCTCTCACTTCACTTCGCCCCAAAGCGGCGAAGGCAACAAGCCTCCAGAAGAGGTTTATCACTAAGAGTCTGGAGGATCCAGCGGTAGCACATGCTTTCAAAGAGCTCGAACATGGGCTGATAAACAACCCAACAACAGAAAACCCAAATCCCAGTGCCGAATGGTGTATTCTCGACGCTGTCATGTCAAAAACCTGTAGATACCAGGAGTGGTTTGATGAAAATGACCCGGAAATCTATGCGCTCATCGATAATAAACGTGCTGCTTTAACTGATTGGCAGAACAATCCTCAGTCTAGGACTAAAGAAGAAAGCGGAGGCCCAGCGCGAACTTCGAAAATTAAAGAACGACTGTTTTAAAAATAAAGCATTTCAAACGCAAAAACTTACAGATCAACACAATATGCGGGAATTTTTCAATTCAACTAAAAAAATTTATGGCCAAATCACTGATGGCACAGCCCCCTCTGCTCATCCGATGGTAACTCCCTAATTAAAGACGAAGGAGGCATCCGTCAGCACTAGAAAGAGCACTACCATTTGCTGCTCAACCGAAACACCGATGTGGATGTCCTGACTACCTAGTAGGTCCCTCTGCAGGCAGAGCTGACCCATCTCAGCTATCCTCCATCACTGGATGAGGTAGCCACTGCCATCAAACAGATGAAAAATAACAAAGCCTCGGGGCCTGATGGAATCCCAGCCGAGGTGTATAAAGTAGGAGGATCTCTGCTTACTAGCCGTCTCCACGCCTCCATCGTCAATATTTATAAGAACAAGGGAGACCAGTCAGACTGTGGTAACTAACGCGGGATCTCGCTACTGTCCGTAGTTGGCAAGATTATCTCCCGAGTCTTCTTAAACAGACTTCTTCCTGAGGCGGAAAATTTCCTCCCAGTAATCTCATTGTGGCTTTCGACCATCATGCGGCACCACTGACATGATCTTTGTTGCCCGGCAGATACAGGAAAAGTGCAGAGAACGGCGTCGTGACCTGTACATGGCTTTCATCGACCTAACCAAGGCCTTTTTACTCGATCAACAGGGAAGCCCTCTGGCGGACCCTTAACCGGTTTAGGGGCCCACCAAAATTCATCCCCATTGTGAGGCAACTGCACGATGGCATGAACGGCAGTGTCCTGCACAATGGCACCCTGTCTGAGTGCTTCCCTATCCAAACGGGAGTAAAACAAGGATGTGTACTGACACCAACTTTCTTTTCCATTTTCTTGGCTGCCTTCCTTATTTGTGCGAGTGCCAATTTAGCTGGCAGGGTGGACTTCAGTACCGGATGAAGGGTCTTTTCAACATAAGACGACTCCGGGCAGGAACAAAGGTGTCAGCAGCAGATGCACACTTCGGCCTTGAGGTGAGTGTACGTAAGACTCAGATACTCTTTCAGTCTGCCACTGGTTCAGCCACACCTCCACCATCCATCCAGCTTAATGATACTACCCACTTTCAGTATCTCAGCTCTCACCAGTCCACCACAGCGGACATTGATGAAGAGATTCAACATCGGATCAGATGTGCATCTCAAGCCTTTGACAGACTCCATACCTTTGTCTTCAGCTGTAGGGAGCTGAAATTATCTACAAAGTTGCAAGTATAACGAGCAGTGGTCCTCCCCACCTTTCTATATGGCAGCAAGACATGCGTCACGTACAGGAGGCACCTCAAGGCACTTGAAAACTTTCACCAAAGTATCCTATGTTTCATTGTTCGAGTTCGCTGGGAAGAGAAGAGAACAAATGCCAGTTTTCTCAATGACACCAACTGTAGGAGCATCGAGGCTACAATTATCCATGAACAATTACACTGGACTGGCCATGTTACCCACATGGACGACAGTAGACTGCCAAAGCAGCTACTTTACAGTCACCTAACGAATAGCAAACGTAACGCCGGCGGTCAACTGAAAAGGTA